TACTCAGTTCAGGATGGGCTTATATTCTATAAGAAAAAAAGATTATATCTTCCCTTTAAGGATTTGTAGTAGTTGTTTCTGTGGGAACATTATGATGTTCTAGCAGTAGGACATGGTGGAAAACGCAAGACTCTTGTTTTATTGGAAAAGGGATTTTTCTGGTCTAGTATAGAAGGTGATGTAGCGAACTATGTCCATTCCTGCCCTATATGCCAACAATGTAAGCACATAATTGAGAAGCAGGCTGGAAAGTTGTAATGCATTTCAGCACTAGCATAGCCATTTCAGAGTGTGGCACTTGATTTCATCACTTGCTTGCCAAAGTCTAAAGGTTATGATATTTTGATAGTGGTTGTGGATCGGTTGTCGAAGATTGCACACATCATTCCAGGCTAGGTGCCTTGCTTGTTAACACCCATGCATGGTATACTAGCATATTGTGGGTTGTGGCACTGTGTGGGGCAGGGCATGGTGGCTACAATGTTGTGTAGGGTGTGCCGCACATGATCATAGAATGAGATTTAGATATATTTTCATTGTGAATCTTTGGAACTTTGAAGGATAAATGTGAATAAAATAACCACTAAAAGCTCTTTTATCAAGTAATTGCTTATTTTTCGGTTGCCTTAAGGAGAGCTATTAATTTAGGAATCAAACTCATGCCATTTATTCCGATACTATATGTAATGCACTTTATTTCTCCCCCCTTTTCAAAGATGTTAATGGCCTCATTAACTATTGATTAACAACTTTTATTAAAATAAGGGGAATTAACATCTTTATTTCTATACTAAATCTACCAATCCATCTATACTATAATCCTATGGTGGATACCTTCATCTGTGGTCCACAAGAGGAAAGATGTACACATAGATGCCCAATATATACAACTTGAGTAGGAATATACCTTACTTAAAAGTATATTATATTTTAACTAATCGGGGGGTTATGTGATCAATTTAGATATATTATTACTGTAAAACCTTAGAACCAAATGGGATAAAATAGCTATTAAAGGTTTTCTCATCAATTGCCCTTTTTTTTACCCTTTTTCCAATTGGTTTAAGGGGAGTGTAGCATACTTGAATTTAGAGTTGAACTTTAAGCTTGTTGCACTACGAAACGAGGGTCCAGTACAATCCCATGAGCACTAACTCCTCATATCTAACACTTGCATGCAAAATGGTGTTAAATAGTGTCTGGCATAATTTTAGTATACCAATAGCCTAACACAAAGAGAAGGGTACCCCACCGACTAAAGTTATATGGAGTTTAGGCTTAAATCTAAGATGGATGTAGAACAAGAAGCCACACAAGCCAAACTAATGTCTTAGATGGTTAGACATGCATTGTAACCACTATAATTACTATATATTTATCCTCCTCCCACCCTCCCTTGAGGAACACATGTTTTGGGCTTTCACCCCAAGCCTCCCTTAGTATCAGGAATTAGTCTTTGGACAAGCTTGAAACTTATTAAATATGAATATTCTTAAATTGAGCATTTGGACATGGGATGAACACCATTGTGTTCAAGACAATCTCTTCATTTTATAAATATGCCAAATGAGCAAATCTAAACAATTTTCATAAATAGCAATTGAGACTAAAATGAGACTAACACAAAAAGCATGATAACGAGGGTGTTTGGCAAACATAGTAAGCTATCATTAGGCGATATTGAGGGACTAGTCTTAATATGCAAGGGTTCTTGCCAAGCTAGTGCAAAATAGAGCAAAAGAGAACTAAAAGCTCAGGTAGAAATACATAAAAGTCCCTACCTTATGTTTATTTGGCTAAGTAAAGATGCTAAACCTAGTTTACTAATACTTGGACAAGAGGGGCTAATGATGGGAACTAGCAGTACCGATATCTTGCCGTCATGGTAGTAAAGAAAGAGTGTCTATAAGAACTGGCTGATAAGTATCTTTCAATACTTGAATTCACATTCACAACACTCTCCCCCCCTTAGGGAAGATTGATGTTTTCGGTGATGCATACTTGAGTTTAGTAAACTGTTAAGGAAACAACTTTGAAAGTTAACAGAAAACACATTATATGGGAAACACACCAACTTAAATAAGTTATGGAATTACTTCTCCTTTACGTCCAAAGACGTTAAAACTTAGACACCGTTCGGTTGTCATCGAAAAGAAAATGACTAACAGAGTTAGCCACCCTTTTTGCTTTAACTACCACTTAGCTTACAAAAGAATGATACATCCCTGCCTGCAAGGACATAGGGAAAGGGCTAGAGGCCCAACTTCCTTTGAGCAAGAAATCAACCCCATCAGAAAGATTTAGACAGCTATTATAAATTGGTAGATTAAATTGTTTATATGACCATGCCCCTTTTCAATAATGAGTCAACAAGAGAGAGGCAAGGACTTGTGATCAGTCTATAATAATTATCCCCATGGTTATAGATTGAACTCATGCACTGAAGTGCCAAAGTTAACTTACCAAAACTGACCCAAGTACTACAAACAAACTTTGATTTATAGAATAACATTACTTTATTGATTTGCAAGATTTATTACAAGATTTATAAAGTTATTCTTTATGACGATTCTCATACTCCATGACAAGCTCATGAGCATGTGTAAAATTCTTAAGAGGCTCCCAAGTTGATTCACAAGTTAGGTAACCTTTCTATTTAACTAGATACTTTTGACATTTAGAACGTTGAGTCCAATAATTATCCAAAATAACTTTAGCTTCATACTCAAGTTCACCATCAATGAGCGTTGGTGGAGGACGAATGTCCATAGAGTGTTCCCTAGCAGTGTGATATGGTGCTAGTAAACTAACATAAAACACATTATGTATATAGGACAATTCATCGGGAAGATAAAACTTATAGAATACATCACCAACTCGCCTCAACACCCAATAGGGTCCAACATATCTTGGTAATAGCTTCCGAGACAATGAGCCTTTGACATTTAAGTTCTAGGAAGATAGCCACACCTGATCTCCTATTTGATAGGATACATCCCAATGATGTTGATCCTTATCATGTTGATACCTATCTTGAGCTTTGCTTATTGCCTCAATAGCTCTAAACCAACCTTGGCATAGCTGCTCCGCATAAGTCTCAATGGCCAAGACTAACACTTCGGACATTGGTTTCGGTACAACAATCTATTAAGGCACCCCATGAGCATTCCCTTGCAGCATCTCCTATGAAGAACAACTAATAGCACTATGAAATGTGTTGTTATAAAAACTTTCTGTTGTATCTAAATGCTCAACCTACTTGCATTAGTCCGCCGGGATATAGTTATGTAGATAATCCTCAGCTTGAGCATTCACACGTTCCATTTGCCCATCAATTTGAGGATAATAAGCCGTATTAAACTTCAACTTGGTACCGAGCAACTAGAATAATGTGCCCCAAAACTTCCCTATAAATCTTGAATCTCTATCTGAGATCATCTCTTTGGGAAGACCATAAACCCACACTACTTCATGGAAAAAAAACTTTGTTACTTGCTTCACATTCACTATTTCCATGCTGGCTAGGCTAGGACCATAGGGCACAAGGGCCACAACATCATGCCCTGCACGGTACACTGTCCCGGCCCGACACGGGCTGGGCACTCAGCTGCACCTATTATACTAGCAAACTAGCCTGACATGGGCCAGGCACCTCCAGAGAGGGAAATCCAGGCAAGGATTAGACTCGGTTTAGCTACCTTCTTACTCTGACTAGTACTTACTGGTTCTATACAGGCATTTGTGATGCCTATAGGGAGGACCCTGCTAATTCTTGTTACACATTCAACATAAGAGAAGTGTATTATGCTGTGAGACTTACCGACATTTTGTATGCAGCATCTTTTTCTTAGTGTCACGGAGCCTTCTCAATGATTCAAACCTCTAGGCATTAAAGATGAATCATAATTTAGAGTATATCTGTAACTTTTTGCTTCTCTTTTTTCCTAGAGGGCCAAAGTGATGAGCAAGCTTGAGACAATGGGAACTGAAGATCAGGAGCAGCTATACCCAGAGCTACTGTTGGGATTCAAAGACCTTTCAAAGCAACTTCAGGTGACGTTTCCCTTGAGTTGAATTTCTGTTACAATCGTTTTTAGGCTGACATGTGTCAGAAGGCAGCTGCAAGACGAGGCAATCTCTTCAGATACGAACAGGCTACAGGCTACTGAAAGTAACATGAAGCTGGTGAGCTTTGGATGCCACAGTGCCTTGCATCTTAGCTCTCCCATTTTTTCACAGTTGCAAAGACATTTCCAGGTCATCACAGCACCTTGGCTCCAAAGGTTAAGACCCAAGGAGCAGCTGCTGCAACGGAAGATGTTAAAGGTCTGTTTAGTTTTTCCACAAGTGTGGGGGTTTTCTAACTTGTTTTCCTTTTCCCAGCTTACGAGGATAATCAAAATGCTTGAAGCGAAGGGCCTTTGACAAGGTCTGATGCCTTTGACAAGGTCTGAAACACTTATGGATGGGAGAAAAGTTACGAACTCTGGCAGGACAAGTCTTTCTTTGATACGACGTAGGAGCTTAAGAGTGCCTTTTACCTTCTCAGCTCCAGCCAACGACAGAGCTTCCAAGGAAAGTGAACTCAGTCTTGTCGATTTCACACCTGCGCACAGGCATAGGAAATGCGTCATTTCTACCAGGCCAACTCGACGAGCAAAGCTTGACTGACATTCAAGAGGTGCAGCCTTTTGTTTCCAATGGTAGCTCTCCATTCTTATCGGGATGTGTTTGTATTCCAGGTTCTACACAAGCAAACTGAAGCTATATCATGTCTCGCTGGTGTGCTCAAGGAGAGACATCGAGATTATAACCAAGGATGAAGGTCGCTTAATGGGCATCGACTTAAGCAGAGCCAAGGTGGACTTTGCTTCCTCCAATAGGTATTTTTGAGAGCTTGTACCGTAATTTCTGGATCCCGAGCCCGAGTATTTTTGTAACGATATCTTTCGCTCTTCGTGTTAACTAAATGAAAATCTAACAAATAAATGACGTGTAAAGCGCTTGTAGCTCAGTGGATAGAGCTTCTGTTTCCGGAGCAGAAAGTCACAGGTTCGAACGCTGTCCAGCGCACTCATTACCTTGCGCTCTTAAATTCTAAATCTGATTCCATTCCAATCATCATTCACTGTTTAAGGCCTATTAGCTCAGCTGGTTGGTGCTAATAATGCCAAGGTCGCAGGTTGACCTGCATGGGCCAATTATTTTTCTCGCAATTTAAAGTTACCTGTTTTCTTTCCCTTTTTTGTGAAAAGGTTACAAAACATAGTTATTAATTTATAAATAATTTACAAGCAAAACTTTGTTATTTACTAAATTGAGCTAGGATAAAATGAAAGCCGAAACCTGCATGGGTCAAATATTTTTCTCGTAATTTAAAATTAACTGTTATTTGGTAGACATTGGTAGTTAACCTTTTGAAGAAAAAGGGAGAAAAATGTATCACACTTTAATCTCATTATATTTCACAATTTCACAATCGCTAGTCGACTTAGCAGACCTTTCTGCATGGAACCACTGGATCTTCCGCCCCTCGAGTTGGCGCCCTCTCCTGGCGAGCCCGTCCGCTACATTATTCTCATATACCTTGTCGTGTGCCTTGACTTTGCACAGCCGGATCTCCATCCCGCTCTTTGCTGCCGCACTAACGATGCACTGCAGGAGCGGCTTGAGCTGGATACAGTCGGGGTGCTCAGGCCGGCACTGCGCAAACTGCAACAGCTTCAGCGACTGCAAACTGTCCGTGTAGATGTTCAGCTTGTTGGACTGCCAGTAACCTCGAGACCTGTACAGCTGCACCGCCGCGATGGAGTCGTGTATCGCAAGAAGCTCCATGTTGAGCGAAGACACGATGAGGCTGTCGACGATAGGGTTCCCGTTTTTGCACCAGCCGTTCTCCTGCGGGACTTGCACCGCCATGCCCGTCCCTTTGTGGGACTCCTCTGCCGACGGGAAGTAGACGCCGTACCCTGCCGAGAGCGACTCTTTATCGAAGGATCCATCAGTGAATACATTCCAAGGAGAAGATGCTTTTATTTCATCAAGTCCTCGCTCACGAGTACAAATGGTAATGGCCCATTTCTGCCATGGCTTTCCTAATCTGACTCCTACACCACCACACACCTTCTTGTTCGCGATGCACGCTTCATCCTCGCCAGCTTTGCGCTTGAGAGACATCATCTTGTCGGAAGATTACCCTAAGTTTTGGGGCCTCAATTTCCAAATGTATAGGATCCTTGGCTCAAAAGGTTCCGTGGCTTTGGTCGTACGAAAACGTTTTCGTACTAGATGCGAACTCGCCACCGCTTTCAATCCACTGGAGAAACAGATGAAGAAAAGATAAAAAACTGCACTTATCCAGCCAAAGATGGATTGATCGATTAGCAAACTATGACAGCAACAACAATGAAAAAGTGAAAAGAGGCATTTTCTTCACTGGATGAAAGCCTTCCACTGTACTGTAGTGTCCCTTTTCGCAGCCGCTCGGGAACAGCCTGAGACCACTGTGTGAGATTGGGAGGGGACCCGTGAAAGCCATCTTGTTATTCACTTGATCAAACTTCCGCCAGTTCACCCGGTTCCTCAAATCGTAAGCGCTTCAAGTATTAGGAAATGGAGAAAGAAAAAGTCTTACATCCATGAAGATGATCATGTGATTTTTGTCAACAAGGCTGCCGATATGGTATGTAGTCGAGAGGCTTTCGCTTTGGGCCTGGCTAAAAACAAGTTTTCGCAGGTTGTGCATCCGGCTCCTGGACATTACGGTGGGACTTTGGTGAATGCTATCCTCCATCACTGCGGCCTTCCTGCTGTCGAGGTTTATCTTCCAGTAATGATGGACGAGGAATCCGATGACGATGAAGGAGAGGAGCTGAGTGAAAATGGAGATCAAGACTATGAGAAAGATGAAGTCGAGGTGCACAAAGTTAGAGGCGAGACTCCTTCAAGATTTTGGGGTCCGAGACCGGTGATAAGGCCTGGTATTGGGCATAGACTGGACAAAGGTACCAGTGGACTCATCGTCATTGCAAAAGTAAGGTAAGACACGTCTTGTGTTATCAGGTGATGAGTATGCCTTGATATTTTCAGGATGAACAGTTCCAGCTGAGTTTGAGCGAGTTTAGTATCAGAGCTCCTGAAAAAGAATACGAACTTGATGAGTTCTCCCTGTCTCCAGCTTCCACTGAACAAGAGCCACACCACCATTTGCGAGAACGTCTGGAACCTTGTACCTGAAATGATAATGAAATGAAAATACAGAAGAAACTCGTTGCTACATACCTGCTTGCAGCAAAACGCACATTTTGGGCGGATGGAACAGTATCTGACGTCGTCATGCGTTTCCGATCTCGCGGATCACGAAGGATTTCAGCCTCAATGCGGCCGCTCGTCGTTGAAGGTGTACCGCACGAAGGTTCTTCGGACTTTATGAGATTTAAATTCCTAAACCTTCCAGATAAGAGTTCATGCACGGTACATGTTTCCCACTGCTTGGGGATGATGTTTATGGAGGAACAGTGGGAAAAGCGAATTCAACACTATTTCCCGCTCTAAGCGCCACTAAAACGAACAGCCGAAAGAAAATTCAGGAGTACATTCGTCGCCCTTGTCTGCATGCCTATAGCCTCGGGTGAGGTTTAGTATAAGTCCGAGACAAGCCTAAGTTTTCAGCGTTGGTGGCCTTGGACAACACCGAAGCCTCTCTGGACCATATCATCTAGCAGCTCGAGAGCGTCCTCATCGCGATTGGTCTTACCAAACGCAAACGCGAAACGCATCAATGAGAAGGTTATAAGTCCCGATGTTTGGAACACAGCCCTTCACTACGAGCTAGATCAAGCATACCAACATTATAAAGGCCAGTAATCAGTGTGGAATACGTTATAGAGTTTGGCAAGCACCCAGGCTCCTCCAGCATCTTTCTATACACTTGACAGGCCTCGTCGACTTTCTTCTCTCTGTGAAGGCCATCGATCACAGTGTAATCATACATCACCACGTCTAGATTACAACGTCTTCTTCGGGTGTTTCGACGAGCTCCATGGCATCGGTGGACCGGTTAACTTTACACAGTCCCCGTATCATGATATAACGTTAGGACAGTCCATCTCCTCCAGCATGAACTTTCGGGCCTCCTCCAACTGGTTTGCTGTGCAGTAGCCATCGAGGATGGATAGACTTTGGGCGAGCAGCTCTACCTCCTCATTTTACCGAGGACATGCACAGCGTCACTAAGCCGGTTCTCTTGACAGAGCCCGTCCATCAAGCTCGTCAAAGCCGGGGTGAGCCGCCATCCTCTCCAGCAGGTTCATCGCCTCTCCCATCCTACAGAAGCCGCTGATGAGGGAGTCCGTGTGCGGCATACAGCTGCCGTTCTCGACCATCCGGCCAAAGAGATCGATCGCCTCCTTGAGCCTGCCTTCCTCGGGATGGAAGCCTCTGGCAACCAGCTGCTCGAAAACTCGGAGAGCATCATCCGACTTCTTTGACTTGCAGAAGCCGGTGATGAGCCTGGTTTACGTGAAGATATCCGGAATGCAGCCGCTGTACACCATCTCCTCCAGGTGGTCGTAGGCCTCGCTCGCCCGCTCAGCCTTGCAGAGACCGCTTACCAGGCTGTTGTAAGTCACAGCCGTGGGGACGCACTTCTTCCGCATCTTGGACAGCAGCGCCACAGCCTCGTCGACCACCTTTGTAGAACCCGTCGATGAGAACCGTGTACGTGACAACGCTTGGAGTGAGGTTCTGGTTGGCCATCTCTTCCAGAAACTTTCGAGCTTCTGGAGCCGGTTCTCGATGCACAGGGCGTGGATGACGGCAGTGTAGGTGTAAACGTCCCGGTGGAAGCCTTTGGAGACCATTTTCCCCAGGAAGACCAAGGCCTGCTCCAGCAGCTTCACCTTGCAGAGTCCCTGGATCAGGCTGGTGTAGGTGACGAAATCAGCCGAGCAAGAGCCTACACGGCCACGGCAGCATCGAGCTTCTTCCCACGAGCACCAGACCTCGAGGAACTTCTTCCTCGGATGACTTTGCCGGCGTGAGATCCCCGCTCCATGCATCTAGCGCTTCGGCCTGGAGGATGTGGAGGAGGCTCTCGATTTGGAGCAAGAGGTCGGGGAACTCGCCTGCGCCACCCATTCGTGAGAGTCGATTTGGAGGCCTGAGCTTGTGCTTGCTCGAGTGGGAGATGGAGATTGAGATGGAACTATCTGTGCAATGGTGTTGCGAGGGCGAAAAGAACTGCAGTGGAAGAATGGAATGTTCTTGGTCAAGGAGGGCAATGGTGATAAGATTAGACGAGATGAGGATGTGAAGATAAAGATGGCAGCCATGGAACTAGAATTGAGTGAAGAACAGGTAGCCTGCCAATGTGTTTTTGTTTTTTAAAAAAGTAAAATTTTAATTTACATTGCAAATGAAGTGTAGTTTATAAAATTCAAAAGTAAAATTCGTATATTATTTTATATAGTACAGGTATATGTCTTTTTTTATATATAATAAAATATGCCTGAATATTTTGAATGCTTAGGCCAAACAAAGTGACACATTTTTGTCTATTATACTATTAATAAAATAGTATTTTAGTGAAAGAGTTACTAATATTGCTGTTGAAAAGAAAAAAAAGATGGCTTATAAAGCACCATGGCCATACACTTTAAACATATTTTGGTGTTAAAATTACTGAAGATATAACTTATTTCAATAGTTCTTCAAGTTCTTCAAGACCCACATAGACTTTATAATATCTATGGAATTATTTTCAAAAAATTCTGATGGAATGTAATTTCATTTTTTTGTATATTGTTTTGCTTTTTAGGGTACTTAGTTATCAAATACAAATATTATTTGGAAGTTAAGAAGTCAAATATATTCACAAATGAAGGTTTTTACTCTTAGTTGGCATAAACAATAAATATGTTTACTATTTAAGCAACAGTATATAATATTTATACAAGAAACTTGTAAAATCCAATTGTTAGATTCAAACTCCAGATTAACCATGTGGTGACTTTATAGCAAAATGCCATTTGTTATGACATACAGACTAATCATATGATGACTTTTGTAATGCACTTGAATTTAGAGTTAAGTTTGTAATGCACTATGAAAGAAAGGTTTGATACACTCTTAATCTTACAAACACCAACTCTTAAAATGTTGCTATGGTAATGAGTTGGAAGTGACAAAGCCATGGTAAAGCTTGCTTTTCCCTACTTTCTACAGTTTATTAAATTTAAACTTGGGACTAATCATGTAGTAACTTTACAAAAAAAGAGCAGACTAATCTGGTGGTGACATTACAATAAAATGCTGCTTGTTAGATTGCACAATACCATATTAAGGCTTGCTCTTCTTTATTTGCTGCAGCTCTCTGAATTCAAACTTGGGACTAATCACATAGCAATGTTAGAGCAAAATGTTATTTTTAATGATAAACTAAAATAACATAACACCATAGTAAAGTTTGCTTTTCCCTATTTTTTGCAGCTCATTGGATTTAGACTTCAGACTAATTATATGGTGATTTTATAACAAAATATTGTTTGTCGTGATGAATGGATTAATTTGGGGGTGATATTACAATGAAATGCTATTTATGGTGATGTAGCACATGTGATCATGGGATGAGATTTAGATATACTATCACTGTGGATCTTTAAAACTTAGGGGATAAATAGGGATAAAATAGCCACTAAAGGCTCTTTCATCAAACAATTGCCCCTTTTTCAATTGGTTTAAGGGGAGAGAGATAAAGTGCGTTATAGTTGGTATTAGAGCAAATAGCACGGGTTCAATTCTCATTGATTAGTGGCTACTTATAAATATAATATACCCTTGAGCAAGGTATATTTTGACTCCTAAATTTGAAATTATACATATTAAGCAAGGTATATTCTTACTCCTAAATTTGAAATTATACATATTAAGCATCCATGCATACGCCATAGGACTACGGTACGGGTGGATGATTAATTGCCTCACATGGAATAACTGGACACCATGGGACTGCGGTACGGGTGGATGACTAGTTGCTTCATATGGAATAATTGATCTACACAATAAAAAAATTGGTAGATTTAGTGCGAAAATGGGGGTGTTGGTGCTCTAGGGGATAAATGGGGATAAAATAGTTACTAAAGGCTCTCTTATTAAGCAATTACCCATTTTTCAGTTGGCTTAAGCATGAAATAGCTAGTCTACACAATGGAAGGATTAATAGATTCAGTGCGAAAATGGGGGTGCTGGTGCTTTAGGGGATAAATGGGGATAAAATAACCACTAAGGGCTTTTTCATCAAGCAATTACCCTTTTTTCAGTTGATTTAAGGGGAGAGAGATAAGGTGCATTATAGATGGGTTAAGGGGAGAGAGATAAAGTGCACTACAAGTGACGAGTTAGATTGCACAAGACCATATTAAGGCTTGCTCTTCTTTACTTTCTGTAGCTTATTGAATTCAAACTTCAGATTAATCATGTAATGACTTTAGAGAAAAATGTTACTTATGGTGATAAGCTGAAATAGCATAACACTAGGTAAGGTTTGCTTCTCCCTATTTTCTATATCTTATTGGATTCAAATTTGAGACTAATCATGTAGTGACATTATAACAAAATGTTGTTTGTGGTGACAAACTAAAAGTGCATGAGGCCATGGTAAAACTTGATCGTTTCTATTTTCTGTAGCTTGTTAGATTCAGACTCTGGACTAATCACTCAATGACTTTATAGAAAAATATTACTTGTGGTGATGAGCTAGAATTGCATGATGCCATAGTAAAGCTTACAACTCTCTATTTTTTGTAACTCTTTAAATTTAGACTTGGATTTAATTGTGTGGGGACTTTTAGTAAAGTTTTGCAGTTTATGAGAAGTGGACTTCACAGTTAAAGAGTAACAAAAGAGATGAGTCTAAGTAATGCCAACTTGACAATGCAGTAAAATAGCATCTTTTGTCAGAGTTTATTGGTGGCAATGGTGGTTAGGTTTTGGATCATCCTCTAAGTACACCCCCAACTCCTTGGGTATGTTCCAGCATTTATTAAAAGTAATTCAACTACCATTTCAAGGACTCGTGTCCTTATCCATATTTGATGGTTACAACTATACTGATATGCCGGGCCTCGGATGTGTCTAGCCCTGGATATATCCGAGTTTTATTTTGACACGTGGCATGGCTTTTGGTTTGATCTCATAGAGTTTTATGGTTTTCAATGTGTGCCACATTGACACGTGGCATGTGCTTTGGTTTGTTTTGAGTTTTATAGTTTTCAATGTGTGTCATATTGACACATGGCATGCCCTTTGGCTTGTTCTCATTGTTAGAGTTTAGTGTCCTTGTATGCCATGTGACATATATGTTTGGACTTGCTTGCCATGCCATGTGGTGACAGTCATAACACATTTTTTGTGACTTATATCCTAGTTAATAACTAACTAATGACACAATTTGGCAAATACACCTTACATTGACAATTGTAAGTAGTATTTAAGGACCATACACTTATATGCTATGGAAAAATACTCAAAGTTTATATATTAAAACAGTAATCTTACAAAAATAAATGACTTGTAAGGAAAAAAAAAAAAGAGGGGGTCACTTGGACTTCCTGGGTGGTCACCCAGCCCAGTACTATTCAAGTAGTATTGGGCTACTTGAATAGCCCAATATAATATAGGGTTTTGTATATTTTGGTACTATCTTGTTGGTTACAGCAAATTAACTAACTTTACAGCAAAATGGTGCTTGTGGTGACAAATTAGAGTTCACAAATCCATGGTAAAGCTTGTTTTTTTCTATTTTCTATAGTGCATTGGATTTCTAATTATGTAGTGACTTTATAGCAAAATATTGCTTGTGGTGATGAATTGGAAGTGCACAAGACCATTGTAAGACTTGCTCCTCTCTATTTTTTGTAGCTTGATGGATTCATAATCACTCATTCATTTTATAGCAAAATGCTACTTATTGTGATGAGTGGATGATTAGCAGGAGGTTAATATTGTTAGACCCTTTATTAGTCTTCACCCAAGCTAGTTGAAAAACTAGTCATTATGTATACATTTATGCTGGATAAACATAAGATAGGAAATTCTAAATGTTTCTTCTTGAGTATACTCAGCCCGGTATGAGAAACTCATATATTGGCTTGCACTTGCTAGTGTTGGGAATCTTTACAATATTGAGTTTAGTCCCTCAATATTTGCTAAATGATAGGTTACCATGCCCCCCAAGGCACTCTCACTATCATGTTTTATGTGTTGGTTTTGTTCGGTTTTATTAGCTATTTATAGAGTGTCTAGATTTGTTAATTTGGCATATCTATGGAATGTAAAGATTGTCTTGAATACAATAGTGTTGATCCCATATCCAAATTCGCAATCTAACATCATTCCATATTAAATAGGTTTTGTGATTGCCTTATAGACTAACTTCTAGTATTAAGGGTGAAATCCCAAAGTATGTATTGAAAGGTGGCGGGGGGGGGGGGGGGAGGGGGGGTGGTGGCTGTAGGGTGGGTGGCTATAAGAGGTTTCAACCAAATATATAGTAGGGATAGTGGGTAAATTGAGCATGGCCGACTAACTTAAGGCATTGTTTAACTCCCGTTTATGTGTTTATCCTTATTTACATCCCATTTTGGGTCTAAACTTAAGCTTTTATGCTAATTGATAAAGTACCTATATCCTTATGTTAGGCCATTAGTATGCTGAAATAACACTAAACTTTGTTTGGTCTTGGTATTGGGATGTTGAAAGCTTTAAAACTATTTTAATGTTACTCCATGCTCTTGTCCTTTTACTCTTTGAGCTAAATACTTAAAAGTCACTTTGTGCTTTAATTCTTTCACTCTTTGGCTATAAACTTAGGAGTTTAGCTTCATTCCTTCATTCAGTGGCCCAAGTCCTTGAAACTTGGGTTTTGCTCCATTGTCCTTGGATATGTGGCATGTGGCACATCATATATAACACATAGCATATAGAGGGTTTATGTAAATCACCACAGGATAAGGGGTGAAAACCACATGTGCTACAATCACAACCACAACAATATCCTCACCCTTATCCTTGAACATGAGCAATAATAGCATTAACCTCCATCAAAATATAACCATCTTCTATAAGAAGTGGAGCTAAAAGATTTGTAATGAGAAATAAAAGAGATGATATTTTATAATATTGTGTTAATCTAAGAGCATTATCAAGGGTGGTTGGAGCATTTGTATGCATAAGACTTATAAGATCTTGATGAAGTGTTAGCTATAACATTCATAACTTAATTTGCTCTAAAGATTTTGGAAGTGAATGCTAAATTACATCATTAATGCAAATGACCCTTGATGAAGATGATGTAATTGTTGGAAGGCATCATCAAAATTGTTGGTATATCCAAATATACATTTAAAAACATTTGGGAGAATGTTCCAATCCGCACAAGTGACTACATTCAAACTATTATACCATTGCAATGCCATCTCTTGAAGACACGTGGGAAACTCATACAAATGCTAAGCATCATCCCAAAAATGATATATGGCATTCACTTTAAAGTGATTGAGCTAATGGTACACATCATCCTCAGAATTCCTACGGAAGAATTCTAAGCTGACGCAAAGATTAACAACAAGAGAAAGAGGAGTTGTACTATATGTTGTGAATGCCACTATCAATTGAGTCTGATTGTTCAATTACAACTATATAGCATTGAACAATTGCATCAATTATTGCTTCAA